GGTAGTTGAGGTTTATAAATGCTTGGTAGAGATCCTGAAGTTTCTGGTCTCTGTCAGTGGGATTAGAGCAGATGCGGTTGTATCGAAGGGCTTGGCTATAGATGATGGATCGTATGGTGTGTGCTGGATGGGAGCTGGAAGCATGTAGATAACTGTATGAGTCGGTGGGGTTTTTGTAGAGGGTGTAAGCAAATTCCTCATCAGTCACTAAACTCTCTTTAGCTGTCTCCTATAAAGTTATAGCAGCACAGAGAGTTAAAGGGGAATGATATGAAGAATGCCAAAATAGCTCTTTGGCTGGTTAATTTATAGTGTCCCCATGACTGCCAGCCAGGAATCAGCCACAGAGTACCGATACTGACGGCAAAAGTAATAGTCAAGGAAGCTCTAACATATGGATCCTGCAGCTGCCAGAGTAGCCCTTTTAGAACCCATCAGTATGCCAGTTTACTTTGTAATTGGATTGCTATTTTAAATGGCAACATTTTATGGTCTTGAAAATATAATTTGTATATTTGTGTAAAGTATCTTGTACTTATGATTTTAACATAATTGAGCATTTCTAGTGTCTGTGTTTGATCCTACAATGAAACAAAATGCCGGACAATGTAGCACTTTAAATACTAACAAGATGGTTTATTAGATGATGAGCTTTTGTGGGCCAGACCCACTTCCTCAGATCAAACAGTGGAAGAAAATAGTCACAAAATAGTTGTATCCTTTGGTATATATGGTTGTGACTATTTTCTTCCACTATTTGATCTGAGGAAGTGGGTCTGGCCCACGAAAGCTCATCATCTAATAAACCATCTTGTTAGTCTTTAAAGTGCTACATAGTCCTGTATTTTGTTTCAGCTACACCAGACTAACACGGCTACATCTCTATCATTATGATGGAAAGACACCTTTGAAAATCTCAGATGTGGGAGCTGAGCATCCAAATCCCATAGGTCACTTTTCAGAAACTCAGGTGAAAAGTCCAAAATATGCTGCATGTGCCCAGGAGCTGGGATAAAGGTGGCACTCCATACATTACCTAGACACTCCCTTGGCTTGCTTTTTAGGGCCAGACTGCTGTCCAGATTCCACTCCAATGCAGTTCCCTTGATCTGATGGTAATAGCTACCATAGAACTTTTCTAGGGCATGGAACCCTCTATAAGATCTCAAGGAAGTGTGGTTGCCATGGTTTTCTAAAATATTCATTTTTATTCTTCATTGAGTAGCTGCATCCATGTACTCTACTTAAGTGTGAGCAGGAGTACTTGGCCTAGCAATACCTTAAGGGAAATGCCCACGCCCTGCAACCATAGTCCCTCCCCTCGCTGTAAAAGTCCAGTGTCACTACAGTCCTCTCTGTTCCTTCTTACCACCATGGCGAGAGTCAGAGCTTCTTGTTGATTCCACCTCATACTTGCAATCTAAGATTTGTTTTCCTTTAGGTAGTAGTTAGTAGTACCTTAGGTTAAGTGTACTAATAGTATAGTAATAGAGTAGTGGGCTGCCTTGTATGCTGTTTTTACCAGTGTTCAAGCACTGTCTTGTTTCGGGGAGGAGGGGCAGGTGATCCCCAATAGTGACCCCCACAGTAGGTGCTTGCCAAGTGCTCCAACTGCAAGATGTTCACCAAGAGGACCCAAGTGGCAAGAGACTTGAAGCTGCAGCAGACCTGCTGGAACAGCGCAAGAGGTGTGTGTCTGATCGGCAGTCACCTTCACATTTGGCAAGCGATATCTCTTCTTGTTCAGGATCAAGTCTTCTCCCAAGAGGAAGAGGAGTTCTCCATCCTCTGATACAGAAAGGAAGAAGTCCCATAAAATAAATCTGGACCATTCCAAGGCTAGGGGAGACTTCTAAGGGAAGTGTCGATGGGCACCGTTCTGCCTTCAGCTCACGGGACAGAGCAGTAGTGTCTTTACCCACTCCCCACTTCTGCACTGAGAGTAGCTAGGGCTGGTTCTATTGACTCTAGTTCCAGCCATGGGATATCTGTTGTCTGGTACTGATGACATCAGCCCCAGCACTGACTGCCTCCACACTGGCAGCATACTGGAGGAATAGGCTCAGGGTCACTTGTAACTGCAACGATTTAGAAGAGGCTATCACTGTTGGACTGGATGATCTTGCTCTGGAGTGGGTGAAAGAGTGAAACCACAGGCACTGAGGAATATCCTAAATATTCCAAGGAGGCCACTGGGCCCATGGATAAGGCATGGTTGGCCAGCTGTGCACTCTGCAGGGGTCCCTGATCTGTACTGCAGGAACAGGAGCAGGCTTAAATTCAGCAAGGCCTTGTTTGGAGCAGAACTCCTGTAAATATTTTCCCTTGACTCTAGCCCAACCCTGCTTGTTTTTAACCAGCAGTCCACAGCCCTCTGGAGGACCTTGAGCCAATTGCAGGGGGATCTGCAGGGCTGTACAGACAGACACATTGGCATTAGAACTCTGGCCATTCTCCAGGTCCTCCTACCCACCTGTGCAGGGGGATAGGTTGCCATTTTGTGAAGATTGATTCCCCTCTCTCGCTTCAGTTCATGTTTTAGCAGTCCACATAAAGGCATCCCGTCCCTTACTCGCTTGCGTAGCCATACTGAGTCCTTAGCAAGTTGTGCTCTGTGTCCAATGAGAACAGTAATAAATTTAGAACTATCATTTTGTTGTTCTTTTTAACCAATTTTTCATTAAGCAAGGGGGCCATGAAATATTTGCAATGGAGTTTATGCCACGTAAAGACTAGATCAGAAGAGGTGAACGTACCTCAGGAGCAGATGGACTAAAAGAGCAATTAGCGTTTATATGTCGAAGTGTATTCTCAATTGCACTACAGAAGAGCATCTGCAGCAGCACAGCAGCAGATCTGGCCCGCTCCTTACCAACCCACCATAATGTTCTCATGCACAGGGAAAGGTGTGACTACAATAATAGTACATTCTGGTGGTGGAAAAGTTACAGACCTTCTGATCTGATTTGCAGCCAACCAACCTCACTTTTCAGTGCTGAGAATGTGCAGGCAAAATATAAGTGAATATGCCCTGTGCACTCAGTTATACACTGTACTGAATGTATGCTCTATTTATGTATAGGGGTGGGATTCATACTGTAAATTCTCCATATACACACTGGTGCTTGGCCACCATTTCCCACTGTTTCACTGTAAACCACAAAAATGGTCTTTTTCTCCATTACATAGGTCTCGCTCTACTTTTAGCAAGTTTAAAAAAAACCAACACTACATTGCTAGTGTTTCTCATTTCTTGTTTCAAACATTTTGCCCAGCACTAGTTGTAAGGGAAAGACAGTGTCTAGCTCTTACCCCAATCCAGTTCAACTACTTCACTCCTGTCCCCCAGTGGTTTATCATCCAGAAATGGCAATGGACAGTAAACAGGGAGCTTTTCTGATTTGTCATGCATCATGGATATGGTCTTTCACAGCTTGGTATCTGCTCCCCTGCAGTCTGCACACCCATGGCTTTTGTAATCCAATCAACAAACAAGTGCTCAGACTGATAAGAATGAACAACAGACAAGAAAAAATACCAAGCACAATCAAGCTCAATAGGACATTTATGCATCCCTTAGTTTCTCCCCCCTCAGAGTCTAAATAAAGGCTCAATGCCTTGTATAACGTAGCATCACCCCCTTACTGTTGCTGACCTCTCCCAACTCAAACTTAGCTGCCTTCTATCACAGATATACATGTTTCTTATATACGGCATGTCTGACAATTTGGGGCTGATGCATTCCATGACGTTTTAATTCTTGAGAGGTTTTAATATTTGTGTTATAAGGTTAGACCTGGTCCAAACAAAACACTTGTTTTGCAACAGATGATGTTTCCTCGCGCTTTGCTTTCCTAAATACAGCACTAGTCTGTTAATCTGGAAGAGTTCTTTCATGTAATAGATACAAGCTATATGCTCATTTGAGACCAAAACTGAGTGTGAATGCACTTTTTCACTATCTTTTTAAATCAAACATAGCTCTCTGTTCCAAGGACATTTGCTGCTTTAATGTTGCATACACTATGTCCCTCATTATATATAGTCCATTGATGTTAATGGAAGTTTCTACTATGATGGGTTTTGAATGAGACCTGTATACCTGTCTCACCAATAGCAGGTCTTGCAGCCATGAAACTAGCCTGAAATAGGCCAGATAAGGAATGGAGAAATGGCTTCTCTCCAGACAGCATGCAAGAAAGACTGTACTTGATTTCATGAATCTCAACATTGTCTAGTTTTTCCTAACATAGGGAATTATTTTCCTGATATTAAATACATGTAATTGATGTTTAATTTTTTATTTTTCAAATGGCAGAAAGAAGCCAAAGGTTGGATCTTGGGTAGTCAGGTGAGAGAAAACTCCCAGGCAGTGAAAGTATCCCTTGTTCTCTCTGAGAAGTAGTTATCTCCAGAGAAAGCAATAGCATTTAAGAAAATAACATTGTCCAGCTTCAAAAACCTTTGCTAATTTGTGCTAATGACTACTGTTGTGAATAACTGACTAATGTAAATATGAGCCAGCTTCTGATACCCTTACTCACATTGAGTAGCAGCTTACTGCTCACTTGAAGTCAAGGTAGTGATCCATGTGCTTAAAGCTAAGCATGTGTTCAAGTGCATTGCTGGATGGGAATCTCTGTGGTTCTGCTGTGCTGTAAATTAATTTGTACTGGTTTTAAAGACTGAATGATTTAAACTATAGAAACAGCTGCTCACTATTTTAATCTCAGTGGGTGAACATTTTAATTTCAATGGGTGAAAATTTTTGATAATCTCTCTGTTTCCAAACATACTGATATGTTACGTGAAAACCTAATTTGCTACTTTCCTGTGGTCAATTTCAGTTCTTGTCCTGAGGAAATTAGAGATTGTGTCATGTGCTAATTTGGAATGAATAGGGGGCAGCTAGTTCAATGCTTTGACATTATTGTACTAAATTAATCTGTTGAATCCAATTTAACTTGTTTTCCTGACTGTTTTTGTTTATGGTGTGCTAGCTGCTTGGTGCAGGTCTGACTGCCTATTTTGTCTATATTCTCTATAAAGAAGAGGAAGAAGATGCGTATTCTGTAATGTGACTGGTTAGCCTTCTTTACCCCTACTATGGTATGGTGCGTGTGCTATTCTTTTAAATGCATGCCTGGGAATGCTCTTGTGACTTGTGACCATCTTGCATGGTTTCTTGTTGTTTTTCGCATGCCTGGGAATGCTCTTGTGACTTGTGACCATCTTGCATGATTTCTTGTTGTTTTGGGTGTTTGGTAAAAGGCTGTCAGCTCTTTCTGCATAGCATAACCTATAACGGACAGTCAACCTTGCAGTGGCTTTGCTTGCAATTTGCCTGCCTTTGCGGAGTTGTGTCAGAGTGAAAAAGCACTAAGGATGATTAAATGTTTGTAAAACCTAACATAGAGCCTGTCTTCAAACCCACCTTTCCAAGACCAACTTGTTCCGTTGAACTGTTCCATTGAAGTCAATGGGTCTACAGTGGCTCACTTTCACTTTTTAATGGCCTTTGTATCTAGTAGTTAGCAATGTTAGTAGAATTCTCCAAGTATTCCTTTTGCTATTGGGAATACAGCAATCATATTACCTAATTACAGAAGCCAAGAGCGTAGCAGGATTCCAAAAAAGGACTGGCTGTTTCTACAGATGAGAAGATCCCCGGTTACATTTGATAGGATAAAATAAATTACTTTCATGCTTCAGAGAATCTGTTAACCTCTAGTTGAGAGGATGAGGAAGAAACTTTCCCCTAGTTATTCCTTAACTGCCATATTGGAATTTCTTGTATCTTCCATGGAAGTAGTGTCAGAGACAGAATACTGGATTAGATGTATCAGTGATCTTATTTTGTATGGCAGTTCCTACAGGAGAAATCCTGATCCCATTCAAGTCAATGTCAAAGCTCCTATTAACTTCAAGTGATGCCTGGGATACAACTTTATCTTCCTACAAATATTGAAAAGGCAGCGGTACTCTTTAAGTAAGAATTACTTATTGCAGGATCAGGTCCTAAGCAAACAAATTAAAGGCGAAATCTCTTCAATTACTAGCATAACTAATTTGATCAAAATAATGTTATTGGTGTCAGGAGTAGATTTTTCTGAAATAGTCTAACTTTTATTGTAAATTTAATTTTTGTTTTATTTGCAACTAGAAGATTTACCCAGCACTGCCCGGGTCCTTAATTAATTTGGGGGAGAGGAGAGAGCAAGGATATTATTTCAAAATAACAATGCCAGCATCTACACTGCAATTCCGTTATTTCAAAATAAATTTGAAATAATGGATGGCTTATTCCGACTTCTGTAAACTTCATTCCACGAGGCATAACACCTACTCCGAAATAGCTCTTTCAGAATAGCAGTAGTGTAGACGCTCCTCCCCAGGGGTCATTCAAAGTAATTACTCCCTAGTGCCTCCTAGGGCTCTCAATTGAGGTAGCGCATCCACATTAGGGAAGCCGACCTCTAATTTTGAGGCTTCCTTGTAGTGTAGATGCGCTATTTCGAAATAAGCTATTTTGTAGTATTTCTTCCAGAATAGCTTATTCTGAAATAAGAGTGCACTGTAGTTAGTCTCCAAGGTGCCGCAGGACTCCTTGTTTTTCCATTCAAGTCAGTCAGCGTGCAAGTCAGACCCTGGCCTGGTCCCTAAAGCATCATGGAATCTGACACGCACATGGACAATAAAGGTGATGTTTTCAAATGAGTTGGGCTACAGACAAGGTGGTCTGGTCCCTAGCAGGTATCACAGATGCCTTTGGCACAGGACATGTGTAATATGTGAAAGTAACGGGAATCATAGAATTGTAGGACTGGGCACTGTTAACTCACTGCTAACTGTCACTCAAACCGTCGCTTTGCTGGGTCTCTCATTGCAGGTGGAGATTGTGAACTCTTATATGCATGTGAACAGTGCCCAGCCCAACGAGCTCCTGCTCCTGTACTTGAGCATGTAGGTGTCATTGTGTTACAAATAATAACAACAGTGCCTGGAATCAGCAGTGATCAGGGTCACCTCTGAGTTAACTCACTGCTAACTGTCACTCAAACCGTCGCTTTGCTGGGTCTCTCATTGCAGGTGGAGATTGTGAACTCTTATATGCATGTGAACAGTGCCCAGCCCAACGAGCTCCTGCTCCTGTACTTGAGCATGTAGGTGTCATTGTGTTACAAATAATAACAACAGTGCCTGGAATCAGCAGTGATCAGGGTCACCTCTGACGCAGTCTGACCTCTCTCCTGCAACAAAAAGGCCTTTTTGTTATTTCTGTTGCAAGCCAAGCTTCTGTGTAGACCCAAGCAGGTTTGGGGGCTTCATTTTCAGTAATGCTAAGGCTACATTAGAGCACAGAGAGGCTTTAAAGTGGGCATACGTGAGATTTCCACTCACTCTAAGGCCCCTTCCCACTGCTAGAACTATAAACAGTGACTTTGGTGTAAATGAGAATTGGGCCCTATGTTTTCTGTGCACTGTCAAACTGGTAATAAGCTATCTTGTGTGTGAATTGGTTGTAGATCTTTTGCCGCCTCCTTGCTATGTTGACAGGCTTCCTTGTCATAGAACTGGAAAACAAGCACCTGCTTCGGCTTCATGGAGATGTTCTGTTTAAATGGCCTGCCAAAAGAGTCGGACTGCAATTAAGTCAAGATGTGACCCTGTGCATCAAAGCCTAATTAGTAGAAACAGCTGAGGCAGAAAATGGGCCCGGCAGTAGAGCTACATGCACTGCACGCACATTCCGAGGGCGAATGCCCCTGCTCAAGCAAATAAGCAAACTCTGAGATTCTCTAGCATTCTCTTGCCCCAGAGCAGGGGCAGCCACTTCACAGCCCCCACATCAATGAAGTGCTGCATACTGGGGTAGATACCTGGCCCACATGGAATGGAGTCCACTGGGAAGAAGGGACTGGGAGGGTGAGCTGTGCCAGAGGTGCAGACTTCATGCTCATCACAGTGCCCATTGCTGCAGAGAGCAGCAAGGGGTGGGACATGGGCTGGCCAGAGATTCCCACACAGTTCAGATCTTCTTGTTCTTTGCCCCACAGAGCATACGGCCAAATGGTGACTATCGTGACCATCAGCTGAAGCAACTTTTGTGGAGCATCTGCTCAGTTGCCCTATAGTATAGGGAAGATTCCTCCCTTCCCACTCTGCCCTGTGCCTGGCCTAGCTCCAGACAACAGAAGCCTGGACACAGATTTGTGCTTTAGCACCAAATCCCATTCTCGGAGTCAATGCAAATTTGGCATCCATGTCAGCAGGATCAGAATTTGTCCTTATGGGCAGGTGAGACCTTGCCTGGAGCCTTTGCATTGGGCTGATTTAGAGCTTAGAAATGCACATATGCATAAAATACATCTTGCAGCTTTGCTTGTTTGGCAAACTCAAAGACCAAGATGTTGTGTATACCTTCCTCTGAGTGAATTTGCAGCTGCCCAACCTAGTAATGGTTAGGATTCTGTATATGTTCTGTCTAAGCACAGACAAGGTCTTAATTTGAAACAGTTGGAATTTTTTTTCCTAATCTCTGCAATTCTTCATAATCTACATCTTTGAAGATATCCAGAAAGCAATAAGATTCCTAATCACTAGACAATCAGATTGATCTCATAAATTAAATGAGACTGATTTCAGGGGTGGTTAAATCATCTTCAACTTCAGAAATGCCCCTCTTTTCATCTACTTTTTTGTGGCAGCATGAAAAGTTTCAGTCATTCAAGAAGCAAGCAGTGGGGTCAGGGAGGTGAAAAGAAGAAAGCCAAAGAAGCACATACAAATTATGAGAATATATTTTCATTACCAACTGTCAGCCCGGGAACTATAAATAGAATCATGATGTGAACATTCTGCAGCATGGAAAAATAGCTGCCAGAAATTAACCAACTGTGACAAACAAGACAGAAGTAAGGTAAAAACAGCTGAGGAGATGGATGCCAAGGTCTCCAATCAGGATGTAGTTACTTTGTAAGATCTGTCGGCGTGACTCTCCTTGACAGGGCCTTATCCTGCAAGTGCTTCCCTCCTCACTAACTGAAATCGTTCATGGGGGCTGAGGACAGGAATTAGGTGGCTGGTGTTTCTCCTGTCCCACTTTGAAAGGAAATAGATGACACTGATGTGTTTTATACAAAGTGTAATAGGCAGGACACCATCCAGCCTCCCCCTACCTGAGTCTGAGCTCCTAACCTTCTCCATACAGCAGGGCACAGGGGCCTAATGGTGCTGGGAAAGCAGACAGTCAATGAATCTGGTCTGAGATGATGAGCTCCATTAGCTACCCTTGGCCTTAATGCTGCTCCCCACTAAAATCAATGGTGAAACACACTGCGTCACAGTAGCAGCAGGATCAGACTCATTGACTTCAGTGGGAACGGTAGCATTCACAGCCTCCCAAGATGTTCTCGCATCTCACAGGGTGCACCTCAGCAGACAGCTCCTTCTCCAAAGCCATCAATTGCCTGACAGCACGAAGAAGGACCCCTGGATGTGCAATGAGCTTGGGTCTAAAGTCCTCCCCTGTGGTGAGCATATAAATCAGGCATCATAAGAGTTGTGATGTTCCATATAAGGAATCTTTTGTTGTTGATATTTGAGAGCTCTGCTTGTCAATATGGTATTAATGGAAAAACAAAATCCATATCTGACTGAATGGAAATTTGATTACTATGCAAATAAAAAGGCTTTTAATTTTTTTTTCTTTTGGTTCAATGACATTGGATTAGACCTGCTAATATGCTTTAGTGTTTTCCATCCACTACGAATGTCCTACAATAATTTTATTTTTGTTCTGTTTTGCTTTAAACACAGAGCTGTGGGATGATTTTTACCTGCGGTCTACACAGAAGAATTAAAATAGACTCTTACTGAAGAATGAAAGTCTCCACTCTCTCTGCCTTAATGCAAAATTTCGACATGTGCCAGTGTCAGTATTACCTGTGCATGGTTAATGGGCCATATGTCTAGCCTCCTTCTCTGCTGATGTTGAGATGCCTTAAATTGAGATGAATTTTAGCAAAGTCACTGCCTGGGACACTTTACAATCTACCTTTTGGACTCTTTTTTAACTGAGAAAAGAAACAGAATTTTCTTTTTCTTTTCTTTCCCCATTGGTACAATATGTGTGTGTGTGGTTTTTTTTGTTTTTTGTTTTTTTTACAAAAAAATGGATTACTGCCCTTATGTGGTATGATTTGTAAAGTCATTCTTTTGTAGCTACAGAAAAATGTGTAGTAAATGTGCCTCCAGATTTCGTAATTTAATAGAGATAGCTTAGTGACTGAAAGGTATCTTAATTTGAGCAACTAGCTTTATTTTTTTAATGACGGGATCAACCAGAATGTTTTGTATTTCATAACATTGTCAACTTTTTGCTGCTGAGTAATTAAAAAAAAAAACTGTCTGTCTGCCCCTTCATCCACCCCAGGTTGAAGCTGCACTGCCATCACAATCCATTTTGTTGAAGATTTAGGATAGGATAGTAGACTGGCCCTGCTGCCAGTGCGACACCTTGAGTAGCCCAGCAGAGGGTACTGTATGAGTAGAGTGGATGCATTTCAGTTAGATTTGATTTAGAGAAAGATATTTAGCTATTGTTTAGGGCCTCTGGGAAGATTGTGAGTAGGCACCAACAGTGGGAGAGTATCTGCTTTTGCATTGCATCTTGTTGCTGTTCCGTATTTATCCAAAGTGCCTCAGTTGGGACTTTTAGCTTTTCTGCTTTTTTTGCAGATTACCAGCACAAACCTAACTAATAAAAGGGGAGATGTATTCATAGCTTGGGGATCATGATTCAAAGGAGAAAAATCTCTATTTAAGAAGATTTTTCACTATTACATCATTCTCTGTCATTAGAAAAAGATCCATAATATCAATTCCATGTTGGTATGAGGATTATTTTGCTGGTGAGCCTATAGTTATGAGGAACAAATAAAAAGAAATATATTTAAAAACAAATCTGAATTGCTATCACTTTGCTGTGATTGCCAGATTGCTCAGAAACCTCTTTGATGAGCACAAGATGGATAAATTATTAGATAGCTGGAGTGGGTCCTTTGATAGAACAGATGGCTAGATTGAAAGGATAGATAGGTGGTTAGATAGTGTGGATGGCTAGAAGTGTAAGCAATTTTCTTTCTGAGGCTCTCTTTCAGTAGAGTGAAATTCTTTCAATAATGAATTATTCTTCTGCCATAGAGTAGGTCTTGATTACACAGTTGCAAAATAGAAGGAACCCCCAACTTCTTTATATATAACTTTAAATTCAATGTTGAGAGATTCAGCTGTTTTGCAAAATACAAGTGAACCCAAAGTATGTGCAGTTTCACAAGTTACACCTGCGTGCATTACTCAACACTTGACCACTATTACTTAAATGTGTGTAAGCGAAAGGTCATTTTTCTGTTGCCAGTGATGCCTCTGTGACTTATTTTAAGATAGACTGTAAGAATCATAGTAATGATTTTTAAAACCTCAGAACCTTAAATATCTCTGATGCAGTTACTGCAGCTAGTTATATACTGTGGGCCTGCTACTTCACTGAGGCTATAAGCTGTACACTTATGCAGCCACCCATGAGAGATTCAAATGCTGCCCAGCTGATTAGCAGAGAGCCCATAGCTAGGTTTTCTTTCTACTGGTGGTGCACATTTGCACATGCCTTGGTGTGCATAAAAATGTATTCTGTACATGGATAGAAACAATCCGCACATGGATGGAAAAGATTAGCGGGAACATTGATCCCTACTACACATTATTTTGGTGTAAGTTAAGTTGCTCAGGAGTGTGAATAATCTACACCCAAGCAATGTAAATCATACCCACCTAAGTGCCAGTGTAGACAGCAATGTGTCAGCAGAAGAACTTCTCCAACCAATATAGCTACCCTCTCTCGTGATGGCAGGAATTATTAAGCAAACGGGAAAACTTGCCCCTGTCATCTTAGAGCATCTTCACCAGGGGTGTGTCACTCTAGACTATAGGGTTTTTTTGAAAAAACTTAACCTGCGTCTAGACTGCAGCCGTATTCTTTCGAAAATAGATTGAAAACCTGCGTCTAGACTGCAGCCGTATTCTTTCGAAAATAAATTGAAAAAACGCAGCAAGTGTTTCGATCGCGGTAAGCCTCATTTCACGAGGAATAACACCTTTTTTTTTAAAGTATTCTTTCGAAAAAAGGCACTATTGAATGCAAACTGTGGTTTTTTTAACAAGAGCATCTAGACTCTTTCAAAAAAGTGGCTCACTTTTTCGAAAAATCTACTTTGTAGTCTAGATGCTCTTTTACGAAAGAGGCTTTTTTGAAAGAAGCCTCTTTTGAAAGAGGCTTGCAGTCTAGACGTAGCGCAGGAGTGCTACAGTGGTGCAGCTGTCTCTCCTTAAATGTAGGCACAGCCCAAGTTATGTTAAGCATCTTTTAAGTCACAGGCAGTTTCTTTCATTATTTGCTCGTTACCACTTCTTTGTTTTACAGTTTAACACCAGCAAGCTTCTGTTTGAGAACAGGACAGCCAAACGTGCATGGATGAGGGGAAGGCAGGTGGCAATATATGTGCCTGTGTTAAAGTGTCATTTATGACTTATTTGGGGATCTTTCTATATGTGCACCTCCATCCACAACAAGTTGAATAGATTCCATTACTTTTCTTCTTAATCTTGAGATAAAGCTCTATTGATACACTCCATTATTTACATGAGCTTGCTATTTTTATTGTATTATTTGTATTGCATTAGGGCCTAGGTTGTCCAGTCATAGACCAGAACCCTATAGGTTAGCACAATACAAATGTAGGACAAAAAAGAATCATATCCCTGCTCCAGAGAGCTTACAACGTAAGTATCTGACAGGAGATAACAGGTGGAGACAGACCAATGCAGGAGTAACAGGGATACAAAGAGACAGTACTGGTCAGCATGACAGGAAGTGATCTCAGCATACCTGCAGTCAAAATTATTGTGAAGTTTTTTTGTATAGTCTTCTGAGCAAAGGAGAGATTTAAGGAGGGTTTGAAGGAAGATAGTGAGGTAACTTTGCAGATGTGTATGGGAAGCACCTTCAAAGCATGAAGGGCAGCATGGAAGAAAGCACAAATGTGCTTGTTCAAAAATGTAACAAGTGTGCAAGAGAGGCTGACATCCTGGGTTAAGGGGAGGTGAACGTCAAGCACTTGATAGTGAATGAGAAGTGATAGAAAGGGATAGGCTGAGAAGGTGTATGTTTGTTGCAGTGGTATATAGCACTTGATAGTTTCCTTTTATAGCAGTGTAAACAGATACCTAAGCAGCCTTCCTTTGTGTTTTAGGCTACTGACCATGTCATCCATGCTAAATCATGGGATAGCTGCAAGGGATGGGGAGAGAGGAGGCATAACAGAGTGGCAGATTCCAGGGTTTCTCTGCTGCTTTATCTTGTTTCAAATGCTAGGACGCAGCATATATTTGAAATTGTGTTTTTACTGAGTCGTTCTGAGGGCATGTCACTGCTGCGAAGATCTGTGCTGTAGTGGTCAATAGTCTGGCATTTGATTTAGTGGGTCTAGTGAAGACCCGCTAAATCGAACACTGTGGGCACTTTCCTCGACTGTGGTACTTTTCACAGTTGCGAGGAGCAAGGGAAGTCAACAGGGGCCTTTCTTCTGTTGACGTCACACTATGGGGATGGTGCCATAACTCGGTTCAAGGTATGTTATCCCCCAGCTAGGTTATTTACAGAGCTGGAATTCCATACCTTAAGCCAACTTTTGGCTGTAATGTAGATCTGCCCTGAGGTTACAAGAGGCCTGGTTAACTACATTCAGGAAATATGGGTTGGAGAGAGAGAGAATGGGGGTGGGGGAGGGGAGCTGAGACAGGAGGTTTGCAGGACAAACCCTAAGAAGAACCAGTTTGGGGATAAAAGTAGCATAGGCTGGTTCCTTCACCGATATTTGCTACCCATAAAATTAAATTCCAGGAACGAAGTAAGGCAGAACTGGGAACTGGCATCCTGTGGGCAGACTGTCAATTGTAGGATGAAGCCTAAATTTGTACTTTATAAAATATGAGTACACAATTTGGCTCAAACATAGTAAACATTACCTCCTTACAGACAGCAGCAACTAGCTTTTCTATTGATAAAGTACCTGTTTGCATATAGATGCTTTAGAATTCATCAGGCTATTAAGTGACTGCTTTAAAGAAAATTTAAAGTGAAAAATGTAATTTTGCATCAGTGGCTTCCATTTTGTGTTAAAGTCTCTCTAGCTCTCAAAATGGTATTGCACAATAGAAAGTACAGCTGGTGAGGATATTAAACAATATAAAGAACTTGTATACAGTCTAAAGCAATGGAACAAATATGCTCTCCTGTCGGACATAAAATTTAGTGGAGAAAAAGAACTTTTGCCTTATTGTACTTTTATAATATGCACATTATCAACTTGTTTGGAATTGTAATATAAACAGTCTACCAGTTAGAGTAATGTAAAAATGCTTCATTAACTTACTAACAGACTCTAGAACTCCAGTCTAACAACTGTTAAACCAACTTTTGCCTTGTCAAACAACCAAAATGTATCTTGTGGTGCCTATTTGACAGATTTCTGTGCTGTTGTATGTGGAGCTATAATTTTGCAGTGAATAAAGGCATAGAATTTAAATCAGAACTAAGTCCCATAAACACATTTTATCTCATTTCAATAAAACAGAAATTGTTTCTTTAGTCCTTGAATGGTAAATATTTCCCTTAAAAAAAAAAAGCCATGGTATTTTATTTAACAGAAATTATATCCCTGCTATAGTATGGTTCGGCACTCTATTAAAGTTGCTAAGTTAATACAGCAATTTCTCAGTAATGCTAATGGTTTCATCTCTGTTAAATGCTATACGACTTTAAGGGTTGAGAACATCTTCTGATGGATCAGGCATTGCACTGGCAGATGGGAAAAATCTCAGGTTTTCCACCAATTCACTATGCAGTGGTGAGCATGTCCTATCTCTCCATGCTTCGTGTCCCCTCTCTGGGGAACAGGGACAATGCTAATTACTCACCAGAGTGCAGTATTTTGAAAACTATCAATGAAAAACAGCTAAATATTATTAACAAATAGAGTTTTTTCTGTGCTGATTGTACCATAAGTAAATCAAGCATGTGTTCTTATACTAGTTGCAGGTAGGCTGTCTGATGCTTGTAACATATATTGTACTTCATTTCTCTGTATAAGCACTTTCTCATTTTGTTGAGACACTCTCAGCCCTTAGCAGATTTATGGCACATCTGTTCCAGTGCAGTCTCATTTTGTTTCCTTGACTCAAAGTAATTTGCGCGTTGACATGGGGGTGGAGATGCTAAGGCAGGTCCATGAAGACATATGTTTGATAGATGTGTGGGCAAAAAACACTGCTTTTATGGTGCTGCTATTGCTTCTTAGTTAGTTTGTGTTTTTTAATAACTACATTTTTAAATATCTGTTTTTGCATTTCCATTATTTCATTCAAAACATATAGATCAGAATATTCAAATGTAGGTTCCTAAAGGTGGGCTCTTAAACAGAGTTCCCTATAACCTGCATGGCAGCCCAGCTTTACAGGTGATTAATAAGCCCCGCCCAGTCAGTGAACTCCATGCACAGAACCCTGAGCCTCTGACTAGGCAGTGAAGCTGTGCCGCTGGGCAGCTTAGAGGGAACACTGCTCTTAAATATATTTGTAGATATCTATTAAAATAACTTGATTTCCAGATGTGCTGAAAACCTTTAAAAATAGGCTTCCTAACTAGGAGAAACTATATAGAAAAAAGAAGACTGTGAGGGGACATAACAGTTTTCAAGTACATAAAGCTGTTACAAGCAGAAGGGAGAAAAATTATTCTCCTTAACTTCTGAGGATGGGTTTAAATTGCAGCAATGGAGATTTAGGTTGGACATTAGGAAAAAATTCCTAACTGTCAGGGTGGTCGAACACTGGAATCAATTGCCTAGGGAAGTTGTGGAGTCTCTAGTTCTGGAGATTTTTAAAAGCAGATTAGAAAAACATCTGTCAGAGACAGTCTAGCTGGTGCTTGGTGCCTTATGAGGGCAGGGGACTGGACTTGACCTTTACAGGTGCCTTCCATTTCTGTGATTCTATATATTGAATTTACGTTTGATTTGGAACACCTAAATTTGAAAAATATTTATCATAGTAAATGGGGACAACTGATTGGTCTTAACTAACCAGTTCTTGTCTTGCCTGTTCCCTTCCCTGCTGTGTATCCTTCAAGCTCCCTTTTCTTTAGTTCCTTTCATTTATTCATCTGGGTTGCACATCTCTCCAGTGTATGACACTTGCAGTGCGGAGACTTCCTGGAATAAAATAAGCCAGGATCCCTTGCACTGATTTTGAGTTTAATGCAAGAAGAGCCAGCTGTCCATCAAAGCAGAATTTAAGCTCTCCCTGGTTGCATTCAGTGACCAGATTTTCCCCAAATAAGCTGTGTCTTATGCCTACATTGCGTTTCATAGTGATTTCTCAAGAAAGTTTCAGTCTTTACAGCCTGCATCTTAACAGCCTTTGCACCAAAACTTCTGTCATTTCATCTCTTTGGTGCTACTGCTGAAAATCATTTCTCTCAACACTCCAATTTTCTGCCCAGTTAAGTCCATAGTATTATTTACCAGAAACATCTATTTAAAAAATAAGGCTTATCCAAAGTACACTGGGTAATTTGTCAAGATATGGGCGATGGCTTTGTGATAAGGAAATGTTAGTGGCTGCATGGTGACTAGCAGCTCCATGTGTTATCAAGAGCGGAAACTGCCTCCTCCAACAATAAAAGAAGTATAAAGGAGCCAAAAGTGGTTTTGCTATGAAGTGAAACAAAACAAAAAAATCAACAGAGACAGGAAAATGAGCATCAGATTATGCCTGTGATTGGAGCAGTTAGTTATCAGAAATGATGGTATTGCCCATGGCCATCGTCTAGCTAGGTGTTCATGTCAAAGAAATTGCTGGACTATATTGTACTTCATTTCTCTGTATAAGCACTTTCTCATTTTGTTGAGACACTCTCAGCCCTTAGCAGATTT